TTGAGGTTAGGCAGACTTGGAAAAATTATTTAACCTCTGTTAGCCTCAGTTGATTCATCTGTAAAATGGAGGTGATAAAGAATGGGAATGGGGAAAAAAATCAGAACCAAGATACATCGTGTAAAGGTACAAGATCCCAATGATGAGTGTAACTGTACTGTACACCTAAAACGGACCAATAAACTTAATGGAAAAAAAAAGAATGGGCCCTACCTCATAGGTGTGAGGCTTGAATGAGCTAATACAGGTAAAGGATTTAGAGCAGTGGTGGACACATACATGTGACATATATTTTAGCTCTCATCATCTGTGGGGGTAGCAGAGAAGAATGGGCTGTAACAGTATTGCTCTCTGAGGCTTCAGTGGCTGGACCTGCAGGTTGAAATTTAGGTTGTAAATTGCCAGAGGATTCTCTTTCTTAGCTGATTGTGAAGCAAGGTGAGCTCTGTGTAAAGAAGCCAAATCAGTCACGGAATTGTCTCCTTCCTTGAAAAGGTGGAGTTTGACATTGCTTTAGGGTAGGACATCATCTCCCAAAGGTCCTGTTAGAATGAATGTCATACCTGGGAGGTACAATCTCCAACCACTATCACCATTAACTCCCTGGATCAAGCACATTCATCAGATTAGCCCCAACAGAGATTAGTGCTTTTGGAGAATAAGACAGTGGACAGTTTCAATGGCTACTGAGAAGACAGATGTGAATAGAGCCCTTCCTTTATGATTAGTTCCAAGAGGCCAGAGGCCAGACCCAAAGGCAGGGGAAGGGGCAGGTCAGGCCAAGGAGAAAATGACATTGAATAAGCAACTACTGTGGACAGGGACTGTGCTAAGTATTTTACATGCATTATTTCATGTAATCACCCAACCATAATGTCTTAGTCTGTTTCTGCTGCTATAAAAAAATATCTGAGATTGGGCAATTTATAAATAGTAAAAAATGTATTTCTCATAGTGCTGGGAGCTGTGGAAAAGATCAAGGCGCTGGCAGGTTTGTGGTCTGGTGAGAGCTTTCTAGCCTTTCTTCTTCCAAAGTAGCACTTTGAGTGTTGCTTCCTCTGGAGAGAATGAATGCTGTGTCCTCACATGACAGAAGGGACAGAAGGGCAAAAAGGACGCTTGGTTTCTCCCTCCAGCCTCTTCTAATAAGAGCACTAATAATCGGTTTGTTAGGGTGAAACCCTTCCAAAAGGCTCCTTCTCTTAATACCAACACCTTGAGGTTTAGTTCCAACATGAATTTTTGAGGGACGTGTACATTCAAACCATAACACATAATTAGGTAGGTGACATTATTATGTTCATTATTATGTTAACACATGAAGAAACTAAGCCTGAGAAAGGCAAAGTAACTTGAGCTAATGAATGGGATTGAGAGACAGGATTTGAAATCAGTTATAAAATCTGCGTTATTTTTAATATACCACCCTGCTCACATAAACCCACAGCATGGAGAGGTAGTAAGTCAACTGAGCAGCAGGAGCTGGTGGTGATAGCATAGGGCACTACGTGGAACTGAATAGCTTGAGCATAGTACTGATGAGGAGGATAAGCCATAGACTGCTGGTTTCACATAGTTTAGCTATCTCATCTCTGTCCCCAACAATATTCTGAGTCTTACCCCCACCTCTGGGATTGCCCCTTACCATGACTGGAAACTGAGTCTTGCTCCTGACCATAGGCTTGAGCTCACGCACAACAGTGACTCCACAGCGGCTTGCTGCCTCGGGGTGTGAATGGTTTTGTGTATTTCTTCCCCACCTCCAGTGACACACTTTAACGCATCTATTGTGGAGATATTCATTTGCCAGTATCATCTTCCTGAACAAAAGACAGTATAGAGTTCTGCTAGCAGTTATTTATTTATTTGACAAGCAGTTATGGCATACCAACTATGTGGGAGGCACTGTGCTGTGTGATTGTGAAAGCTGACAGACAGAGACAGGTAGGAAAATTGGTTGTTTCAATATGACACTGAGATTTATGGGAGCCTACAAAGGGTTCAGAGTGAGCAATCAGAGTAACATTCCTGGCTTCATGGGCCTTGATTGATTCCAGAATGGGTACAGTGGCGGTCAACCCTCTTTGCAGAACAGCAGGCCCACATAGTGTGGCATGCAGGTAGAGCCATATCTGTCGTCAAGAGGGCAAAGTCACCGTGGGCAAGAGTAGCCTGAGAAAGAAGAAAGAAAGATGAGATGTTGGGTCTCTAACTAGAAAAACAGATGTGATTTGGTTAAGTGGAGAGAAGGGCTAGATTTTTAAATGATTCTCCTGAGTGTCCAGCTCTTTAAATCTTGCCTTAAATGAATACCTTCAATTTGGTGCTGCTTTGCTTTAATTTGTATTGGTTTGCTTTTGTGTCCCCCAACTTATTATGTGCATTTTATACATTAGGTAAGGTGAGAAAAAATTATTGTAGGAAAAAGAAGAATGAAATGAATACTTTAACTCAGAGCCATTCAATAGAACGTTTTGCTGCCACATGCGGCTGTTGAGTAACTGAAATCTGGCCAGTTTCCCCAAGGATCCGAATTTTTAACTTTCTTTAAAACATGGTCAGTAGCTACTGTATTGGAAAGCAGTTCCCTAACCACTTAGCAATGACCCATACACATCCTAGTAGAGGAGCAATTGAACACAGAGGCCCATATTAATTTAGTTATGAGGGACGCTTACTTGGGTATTCATAGGCTTACTCAGTCATGGATTGGGCCACCAAGTTTCCTAAAAATGACTCTGCGAGGGCTTCTGGTACATTACCTCATTTCATCCCATAACAACCCTGAAGCGGGTAGGGCAGAGATTAGCATCCCTGTAAAATCCAACAAATTTAGGTGATAACAACAAGGCCCTACAGTAGGTAAGCAGGGAGCCTAGAGGTCATGTGTTTCTCCTCCTGGCTGCAACTCTTTCCAAGGGAACAGCAAAGGAAGAATAATCTCATGTATCCATATCCAGGGCTCCCAGCCTGGATCTCTCAAATACAGAGATGCTTTGCTTCATATTCCTTTTGCAAACTTGATATGGCTATAATGGGATCATAGATTATTAACAAGAATCCTGTCTTATTCCCTTCCCACTCCCTTGATTCAGGCAATAGGAGTGTATTTGAAAAGCTCAGGCATATATTCCAAATTGCATATTGAAGGTGGGCGTGGTGGCACACACGTGTGATCCCAGCACTCTGGAAGCTCAGGCAGGAGGAACACTGCGAGTTTGAGGCCAACCTGGGCTACATAGTGAGTTCAGCGCCAGCCTAAACTACAAAGCCAGACCTTGTCTCAACATCCCCGCCAAAAAAAGTACATATTGAGGACCGATCATGTCCTGGGTACTGTTGTAGGTCTGGAAGAACAGCCATGAACAAAGCAAAGATTCGTCTCCTGTGGAGGTGACAATTCTGGTGGAGGGAGGCTGATAATAAATAATGCATATACTGGAACTTTGTAACATGTCAAAAATATTTCATAACAATATGCCATGGTTTCTCGCATCTTTTATGGCACACATAAACACTATCCAATGTACCTTTCTGGACTTGTACTTCAAGCAAACTGCCTGACTTGCTGGAAGGTGGAAAGACCTTTTGATTCAGCCTTTTAATATGTGTTGAGTGCCACCTATGTGCAGAGCACGATATTGGGAACTTTGGAGAGATCCAGAAGAATGAGAAGACGGGTCCTGTCTTAGGGGAATTCCAGTCCAGTGCAAGAGGCAGTCACTTTCCTTGGGAGCATCCAGACTGTCAGGACTAAGAATCTATTCTGGAAAGGCAAACGACTTCAGAACCCACTTATAAAGGGGAATCCCAAGTACATATGGAATGAATCCAGCCTAAACTGTGTGGAGTGGGTAAACTGTCCTCCTCTTATGATGATGGGGAACTAGCTGGGGACAGCTCCCCAGAACAAGAAAGGGGACATTGTAGGAGCTGTCACATGCCCTAACAGCGAGGAGGAACTGAGGGGCTGTCCCTCCTGGATACTGGTTTCTTGGGAAGTTCTCTGGATCAGATGAGAGTTGGGAGACGGCTGCAAGAATGAAGAAGTCCTGCCTGGGGCATTCCAGGTAGAGCGCGCCTCCTGGCAGGTGGCACGGGCAAGGAGGGTTTGTGCCTTCAACACAAACCTAGGCAAAACACCCCTCATCCGAATCCAGTTGAGGATGCAGAGGAGAGGAGGACCATTGTGTTGGGGAGTCTTGCCCAAACCCTTGGGGATGCAGAGGCCACAAGGGGAAGGACCATGGTCTGGGTCAGAGGCGGATGGGCTCAGTGGGGCAGCCCAGGCAGGGTCCTGAGCGCCGCCGGGGTTTCTTGACAGCTGCTAAGGGAGCGAGGTTCGAAAGAGTTCAGTGTGCCCCTCCACTCCTCCCGTCGCTTCCTATTTCCTGTGTTTGAAACCCTTTGGCTCCACAAACTTTCTGCCCCCCCACCCGCACCCCCCCGGCCAGGCGGGCATTGTACCGGGAGCAGCTGTGGGTTGTCCGTGGTCTGAAGGGCTGCGAAGCCTTTGTCGTGGGGCCACCACGGGGTTCCCTCTCGCGTCCTGGCTGGGGCCTCACAGTGCGTGCGTGCCAGGAGGGGGGCGGTGCGGGAGAGTTGCTCCCTCTCCCTCTTCCTGGCCCCCCCTCCAGACCTCCCGATGACCACATGACCAAGTGGGCTCTCGGCCAAGCCACAAGCTACAAAATGCAGCCCGTGGAGTGAGCGGGGAGCATTCTCGCTGGCAGCCCAGGCCACGCGCAGTTGGAGCTGTGGCCGAGCAAAGTCAGTCGCCTGAAAAGAGCTCGTCACTGCCCCCAGAGCCTCTGAGGCCAGCTTCGCTGCACTGCCCAGTGGAGGCAGAAAGACGCTGCAGGAGAGCGGAGGCGGCCAGCCGGCGGGCGGGCTGCAGGCAGCAGGCCGAGCGGGTGGGGTGCACACACTCTTGCTTCCCGCCCGCACGCGCCCGCCGCGGCTTGCGCCTTTCTTTGCCTGGGGCTCCCGGCCTCTCCGCCCTCCCACCGGCTCTTAAGGGCCCGCAGCGGTTCCAGGAGCAGCATGAATCTGCGGCTCTGCGTGCAGGCGCTGCTGCTGCTCTGGCTCTCCTTGACTGTGGTGTGTGGAGGTGAGTGCGCGCCCTCCCGCTCGCCCGTGCTTCCCTGTGGCTCTCCGGCGGCGGCTGCAGCCAGCGCGCTCTGTTCCCTCCGCCCTGCTTGCGCTCTCCCCGCCTCCCAGGGAGCTCGGCGCGAGCCCTGCAGGAGCAGCCACGCGCCGGCAGCAGATTGACAGGGCACCGCGGGCTAAGGGGCGGCCGGGGACCGCTTCTTCCGAGAAAGGTTGTGGGAGGTTCCGCAGGGCCTCTGCCATCACCAGCCAGGGGCCTTGCCCCTCCTGACTGCCCCGTACAGTCCGAGGCGCTCAGGGCCACAGGCATGTACCCGGTGCCCCGCACTCTGCATCCCAAGTGGTGGGGGGTTGGAGCATGCCCTGCTCCCCTCACGGATCAATGGAGGGAACGGAGCTGAGCTGCGTGAGCTGAGCTCTCCCTCACGTTGAAGGTCTGCTGCTCCTGGAAGCTAGGGGCCTCTGGCTGGTCCAGGGGATGATGTGCCAACATGCAGATGGGACACTTGTTGGATAGGCAGGGGCAGCGGCAGTGGCAGCATGGATCCCAGCTGTTCTCCTTTCAGCCTGGAAGGGAGCAGAGGCAGCCTCCCCCAGGCTGGGTCAGGCCGGTCCTTCTGCCGGACTCCTCCTCTGCTTCTGCACAGGAGGCCCTGCCCAGAGCCTCCATCCCACCCCAGGCCCTTGGTCTTTCACATCCTGGCTGCAGCCTCCACTCTGCCCCAGGCACAGGCAGACTTCACCTTCATCTCCCTGTCTCAGGCACCAAACCAGGAAGGTGGGCCCCTGATCTGACACCTCCATGCCGCTCAGGTGAGGGGAGTCTTTCGGCCCCCACCTGACCCCCCCACCTGGTATTACTTGGCACTTGTGCTCCCTTGCCTGCCCCAAGCCTGATTCCCAGCCATGCTCCACACTGCCTGCCCTCTGTGCGTCAGTGTCTCCTGGGGCCGCCAGCCCCCACAGTCCTGTGATCTGGCTGTCACTGTTGCCTGCCTGGCACCACAGAAGGAGAAGGTTAAGACCAGGTGGACTAATGCCAGTGCCCGAGCTGAAGTCACAGGGAAGTGAAAGCCAAGGGACAAAGAGGGCAAGGCAGCAAGTTTCCTAGAGGAAGAGCCCTGTACTTGGTCCCCAATCCTGCACAGCAGGAGGATGGCCTGCAGTCCAGGAGCCTCGGAGGCTGCCAATGCTGCCGGACTCTTTGTAGGCCATCTCCTTTCTCTGCCCTTGTTCTTGGCCACTGCCTCTGTGCCCGGAGTGCTGCCTACCTTCTAGCACCTCTTGCCTCCAGGTAGCTGTCTCCTGAGCCCCTGTTCAAGACCCCAGCGCTGAGCCAGCTGCCTACTTAGGAGGAAGGGAGCAGGCTTTCTCCTCAGAAACTCCTGCCAGGCAGGCCGTGGCAGGAAGGGAGCAAAAGATACAAGTAGACACCACTGGGACCTATTCCCCAGGAGCCAGTGTAGTTGGCGAGACAAGACACTTGCACAATTGGCACTACAGGCAAATAGTCCACGGTGGCACCTTCAGGGAATAAAAAGAGTGGGTGCAGAGTGTCCATGAGGAAGACCTGCATATCCGGTGCTCCTCCAGAGGCTACTGGAAGACTCTTGGCCAACAGACAGCATGGGAACCCTCTGGGGGTCCAGCCATTGGGGCAGTACTAGTAAAGCAGAGAGCTAGATTCAAGGGAATTAAGTTGGTCAGGCTGCCAGAATGCTGTGAGCTTCTGGCCCAGACCCTGCCACTTCTTGCTTTAATTCACCCTTTTTCATTAGATCATCTGTACACCCCAATTTGGTACATTCATCACCCTCGCATTTTTTGGTTAAGCCTATTGCTAGAAACTTCCAAAGCCTCCACTGTGTTTCTGCCTTCTGACCTTTCCTGGAGCCAAGGAGGACACCTCCCTGGAGGTGACCACTATACAAGGGTCCAGGTACACATGTCCTATCCTGCTTCTCTTGCCTTCCATTCTTTCTTAGAAACAGGGGCCCCAGAACTACTTTGTCCTTGGCCCAGACTTGCACACTCTGCCCAGCCAGGGACACCAGAGTTCCAAGACTGAAATGCATGCTTTCTGCTCTCCCCACATTCTTTCCTAACAGGGAAGGCTCACTCTCCACTCCCCACCCCACGCCCACCTCCTGACCTGGGATACACTTTGCTCTTCTGAGTCTAAGAGATGCTGGGCCTGGGCCAAGTGTCCCTTGGTCTTTGGGCACCTCTCCTTCTCCTCTCCTGCATGGAGTCCCAGTGGCAGTGTGAGGACAGTCTATTGTACCCTTCCCACAGTGGAGGGGGGCATCTCCACTCCATCCCTGTCTTAAGTGCTAAGCACTCATGTAACCTGAGCTAGGCCTTCATCGGCACAGGACTAAAGGAAGTCAAGAGGAGGCCCAGGCTACCAGAGCCTCGTATCCAGGACAGCAAAGCTGGTACCAGGTGATAGCGCAGGGCCCTGGAGAAGGCCAGTGGGGCAGAATGCTGAGCAGACAAAGGAAAGGTGCCTCATCCCAGAGACACATGCAGTGCCACAGAATGGTGGAAGGGGCATTGCCAGGGTCTCGCCAGAGCACAAGTGTGGGCTTTTAAAGCAACCACAAGACAGGCCAGACTGTGAGAGGGAAAACAGGTGTACCATTCCTGGTGAGTGTGGCATGTTCCTGAAAAGTCACATGTACGCACCTCTGTGTGTTGGCAGGGCTGGAGTTCAAGATTCATGAAGAACAAATCTAGTTCTCCCCCTCCCACTGGGGGGCATCTCCACTGGGGTACAGCATGGAGATGCCGTTGCTTCATTGTTGAAGGCGTTTCAGTGGGCAATGACTCCAGTCCCTCTAGGCTTGAGCTTCTTGGGCTACTGGCTCCTGCCTCCCTTTAAGCAGCAAATTAGTTGGGGGGAAATGCTGAAATGCCCTGGGGATGGCCCCCATTGCTAAAAGGGAGTGCTTTTGTACAGCAAGGACCTCTCCTGTGATGAGAATCAACAGCCTCTAATTTGTCCCTTTGGACAGGAGAAAGCCAGGGTTTCAGGTGTCAGCTTATCTGACATTGAGCCAGACTCAGCACCGAAAGTAGGAAACAGGTGGGTGATGGGTGCAGGGAGCAGGAGAAGCCTGCAGAGTTCCCTCGATGAGGACAATGAGGCCCCTAGTCAATGGGTGCAAGAGGCCAGAGGTTTCTGGGTGGCTGCTGTCCAGGGTCTGGCTGGTACTCAGTGAGCTCAGGGTGGCTCTTCGCTGGAGGCCTAGTCTAGACATCTTCCTGGCCAAAGTTTAAGCCACCATCCCTGTTCCTCATCCTGGCTCTTGACCATAGAGCCCTTCCTCCAGCCCTCCCTTCCTGACTGCCACAGACACAGGCTTGGATACGAGCACATGAGGATGACACTCTCCCCTTCCTAGTGCTGGGCCTCTTTTCTCCATGCCCGAGGAGCCATTGTGCCCCCACCCCCAGTAGTTGAAGGCATGGACATGAGATCCAAGGCTTCACTTTTCAAGGCCCTTAGGGACCTCCCCCTATTCCTGGCCACATGCTCAGCATAGTTCCTACAATTTTACACCCAGTGTGTCTCTGGTATTGACTCCTTGTCAGCATCAGCATCATTCAGATCCACCTTCAGTACACAGGATAAACCTTGAGGGACACTAAAACCCAGGGCGTGAGGTGCAGAAGCTGGGTTGGGAACTTAATGAAGGTCCTTCCCTCTTCTTCCCCAGCCCCAGCCCCTCCACAGATCGCAGCCAGAGGGGAGCTCTAGATCAGTCAGGCAGAAGCAGCCTCCTTGACCTGTCCGTCCATCCTGCTCCAAACTGCTAAGACAATTGTTGTTTTAATTCTTGTAAGTTACACGTTTAGATGCTCAGTTGACACATGACTTCACCCTGACCATCAGCACCGTAGTGTGGCTAAGTTAACCAAATGAACTCAGTAAATCATAGCGTCCTAATGGGCCTGGTGGTTCTTCATGAAGAAGAAGGAAAAGAGAGTGCAGGGTTAGAGCATATGCGTGTGCAGGGGGAGTGTGCGTGTCTGGGTGTGAGTGGGGAGAAAGAACAGCAGGCCCTGGAGCTGGGCAAAGGGGGCCCCAAGGACACACCTCGCCCACTTTTGGCCCAAGAGGAGGCTAAACGCCTGCAAATTGTGTGCAAGGAGTGGAGAACTCACAAGAGCCATGGAAGGAACCAGAGCGTGAGGGTATTGGAGGCAGGGGAGGGGGAGGGAGGAGCAGCCAATGGGAGGCTGTATGGAAACTGTGAGCTAGTGGTGGGGATTCCTGGATGGATGGCCATGAGGCTCCAGGGCCAGGGACATAGCTGAAGGCAGATTGGATGGTGTGAGAGAAGAGAGACTGGTACTCATTATCACTAGGTTCCGATGCCACATTTCTGCAGGCCAGCCCCAAACTGGACATTGCACATCTACCTCTTTTCCAGCACCATTTCATCTCCCCACACTGCCTGCCTCCAGGTGCCAGCTCAGCTTCTCTTGCTGGACTGCAGGCTCTGTGAAATTTGCCAAGTGCCCCTTCTTCCTTATCACACCCAAGTGTACCTATCACCACTTGGATTTCATTGTCAGGGCTTAGGCTGGCATGAAGAGACTTCTACTGTAAGGCAGATGTAAGTAGATGCAGAGAGGAGCCTCAGAAGAGTAAAAGCCACCTGGGGTTGGAGTGGAATCACATCAAACGCAGGATGAGAGGTGTGATCTGGGAAGGATGGGAGGCAGAGCAACTGCACATCTCATCCCTATCCTGATGCACAGACACACTGCTCATTCACTCACTCATTCATTCATGCAATATTTAATAGCCTCTACATCAGGTCATAGGCTGAGTATAATCAAGCACAAAGCAGGCTGAGTCAGACACTCCAGCCACACTCCCAGGAAGACCTCAGGAGCAAGCTTGAGAGATTCCTGACTGCTGATGGGATACCTACGGGGGAGGTATGAGATCTCTAGTAGTCAAAAGTGGGTACTCTGCCTATTGAAGTGCATAGGAGTACATTGACATGATGTTCATGATTTGCTTTAGAAAGCCGCAGTCAAGCAAAAAGAAAACGGATAATGAAGCATATGTGGCTCCATCTGCATAGCTATGGAATCTGGGTGATGGGTCCACAGAGGGGGAGCCATTGTAATGTTGTAAGTGTGAAATGTTTGAAGTACGCCAGTTGCATGGGTGCCATGGGGGTTACTGCCTCCTGCATCCCAGCCAAGTACAGACTTAATGCCCCGAAGTGCACCCCCAACAGTGTTCCAAAGAAAGAACCTGTGGGTGTGCCTGTCAGAAACATGTTTTAACTGTCAAAAGGGCAAAAATCAGCTACTTCAACGGCAAGATCTAAGTAGTGGGTTCTCCTTGCTCCAGGCCTGTGTATAATTGCCATAGTTTTCATCAGGGTGAAAAAGAAAACAAAAGAAAAGGTACAAGGAGTGCCACCTCATGGGGAAATGTCCCCTCCCGGCCCTCCGACTGTTTTCATCACCCTTCCTGGCTAACAGGTCTTTTCCTTCCTGCAGTGCCCCTGATGCAGCCTCCTGAAGGGAAGGGGCTGGAGCAAGGCAGCATTCGCTATCTGGTGCAGCCCAGGGCTTCAAGGAATGGACCAGGGCCCTGGCAGGGAGGCCGGAGGAAGTTCCGCCGCCAACGGCCCCGCCTCTCCCATAAGGGCCCCATGCCTTTCTGAAGCAGGTACCTATTGGAGCCCCTGGGCAGCAGGCAGTGCTAAAGTGCAGGGGGAGGGACAGCCTAGAAGCTTGTGCTCTGCCACTCATCACTGGCCAGACACTTGCAGCAAGCAGTCCTGGCACCACACACACCTAGGGCCTTAGAGCTGCCAGGGAGCTTGTAGAGCACTCATCTAGCGCTTTTGTTTCACAGAGGGGAGACTGAGGCCTAGAGAAGGGCTCAACACCAGGGGTGGACCTCCCAACTCCCCAACAGCTCAGTGCTGTCTCCCCTCCCTCCTGCTGCCTGGGGTTGGGCAGGCTGGCCTGTTGAAGAGTTCCGGAAATTTGGGGGGCCTTGACTGGGGAGGGTGCCCAGGGTGTGCCCACAGGTGTCCACTGCGGAACCTCACCAGCTCCAGGGGCAAGAGAGAAAGAGGCAGAGAGTCATGGGGCTACCAGGCCGAGGGCAGGAGGAAAGCTGTGGCTGTGCTCCTCCAGAGCTGGGGAAGGAGAGAAGTGTGAAAGGTGGCTACAGAGAGGAGAGAGCAGCGCCTCCACCTGCGCCTGAGTCCAGGCCTGCTGCAGCTCCACTGCAGCTGGCCCAGAGGGACACCAACTCAGGGCCTTGGGCTTTAGGGTCAGCTTCAGGGTTAGGGGTGGGGGTAGGATGAAGGCTATTTTCTCTCTTTCCCGGAGGGGTTTCTTTGACCTAGGATGTGTCCTTGACTTCTCTCTTGTCATTTTTGTCTCATTAGGACTGACCCCCCCCCGCAACCAGGTGCCAGTGCACTGTGGTTCCCAGCACTCCACAGATCCGTCTGCTTCTCTGGAACCCTCACATCCAGTCAGCTCTTGTCTCACGCCTGTTCTAGCTCCTGATGGTCCTGGCTCTTCTCACCCACCAGCTTCGTCTAATGGCGTGGTCCCGCCCCGAATTCGGATGATTCCATTTCTCTCATAAGGATCCATGGAGCCCATCTTCCTGGCCTCTCCCTGGACTGACTTTGGACACCCAGCCTCTCCTGGGCCGCCATACGCCCTGCCTCCACCGACCCTAGCTGATGCCTCCACCCTCCACTTGACCTCTCTCCTGTATCTGCCCTGGGATCTGGGTGGAAAGCACTCCATTCCTCAATGGGCTCCTGCAGATCCTTGCTTTCTTGTCAGTGAATCCCTCACTTGGCCTCCAGAGAGGAATCCAGAGGTGCACAAGGAGAGATTCTAATTAGAAGGGAGGGTGTGGGGATCCAAAGAGGGTGCATCGGGGGGCATCAGAGTAGTGCACATTGTGCCCTGGTGAAGGGGGTTGAAGCACTGGAGGAGGAAGGATAGCACTGTGGCCTCCTCTTCATGCCCGTGTCTGGTCCAGTGAAGGAAGAGGTGAGTGAGAGGAGCTCAGGAAGTACTTTGTCACACTGAGTCTCCTAACCCCTGCCCCACCTCAGCAGCTACGGTAGTTCAAGTTCTGAGTCAAGAGGGGAGGATGCTGGGCCTGGCCTGGCTCTGTACTCTCCCAAGAGTAAAAGCTGGGCAGGAGGGTTGTTTTTGCCAAGACTCATAGAATATCAGAGCTGAAAGGACCCTTGGAGATCACTTAGCTCAGCCTCCTTATGCAAAAGTCGGTGACAGCAGAGGCCTGGAGAGGGGAGTGATTTACTCAGGGTCACTGCAGAGCTAGAATGGGGACCTGGTCTCCAAAGCCCCACTTTATGATACCCTTGGCCCTCTTGATGATGTCTTCTCAAAACACATGAAGTGCCTTTTGCTGGGGTTATGGTAGAGTGGCTGGGAGGGCAGGGAGAAGCAAGTTGGCTGTGAACTGCACCATTGTGGGGAGACAGAGTTGCTCCCACCTCCCTGCTCTCCATAGGATGGAAGGTTCCATAAACGGCCAGCAGTACTCCTGGCCCTGGAGTACTTTAACAGGGCAGCTCAGGGCCTGAGACTACTATTCAGACCCCAACACTGCCTGTCTGGAGCCAGAGGCAGCCTTAAATAGTCAACTCAATAGCCTCTGCTTTGTGTGGATTGGACCGTCCTTCCTAGTGGCCTTTCCTGGTGGGGTCAGAGGGCAGAGCGTGGAGAAGAAGGGAGGAAAGGAAGGGGAGAAGGAATAAAGAGAGATAGGAGGATGTGCAGGTGGGGTAGCACCCCTTGCCAGGAGGCCCTGTCTTTCATGAGGGCCCTTCCATGGCTTCCTCTGAAGGTGGACCCTCTTGGCTTTTACCTGAGCAGCCTTCCTTCTCACTGGCCTCCCAGGAGAAAAAAAAGGGAAAACAGAAGCCTGATGCCCCCCTATGTATGCATGAGGGCAGGGGGAGTCAGGGCCCCCAAGTCCCACAGTAACCCCAGTGTTTGCCTACGCCTCCCACTCAGTCTTTTCCTTCCCCTCTGCCACTGCTCCTGCTGCTGCTACTGCTGCTACTGCTGCCACCTCAAGGCCCACCCTGGGAAGCTGCGCTGGGCATAGCCTCCAACCCAACTGGGCATGGAGTGGGGCTGGTCAGTGTCCAGAGAAAGAAAGTCTTCTCTGCCACTGGTAGCCCCACCAGGGACCTGACCACCTTCCTTCTCTTCCTCCTTTCTGCATCCCATGCCTCAGCAGCCTGCCATGACCTGTAGCCATGGCCAGCCCCATGGGGAAAAGGACAGAAGAGGGATGATGGCTGGGAAAGATGGGGACATGGCAGAGGAGGGTAGTGGGTGGGTCAAGGGTGTTGTCTTATTTAAAGTGGTTGTGTATGATTCTTCTACTAATTTATACAAAGATATTAAGGCCCTTTTCATTAAGAAGTTGTCCCTCCCCCATAATTGTGTTCACTGTGTTTGTAAAGATTGTTCTGTGTAAATATGTCTTTATAATAAAGAGTTAAAAGCTGACAGTTTGCCCTTACTCTTGGAGGTCACATTCAGGAGGGGGATTCTTTTCCCCCGAGGGCCATGGCTGTCTCTGTGCCCACAGATTGCATGTGCAGGGAGGTAAGTGCCTGCATCCCAAATCGGTTCTAGGCCAACTGGCCTCAAACTGGAACCTTTAAGCTTAGTGACCTGTTCAAATAAAATTCAGCCCATTTTTAAGCCTTTCGGCATCTGTTTGAATGTCTTAATTTTTATGGCAGTATCATTGAAAGGGTTTTTAAAAAAGCAATTTATTTAAGAACATGCTGGTTAAAGATAGGATTTCTACTAAAAGTTACTTTGTAGTCTCGGTGGGCGTCTTCTACTTCAAACACTTTCAGGACTTTTTAGCCAGTTTGCCTTTCTTGAAAAATCTCGTTTTTAGCAATAAATACATTTGGTAATGGCTTTGTATGTACCATCGTTTATTTCACAAAGTGGAGTTGCTTAATGAATGAGATAGCCTGAAAAATAAAATGCAAGGAGTTCGATGCAAGTCTGCCCCATCTGTCTCACTTCTTCATGCTTGTTGTCAAAATGTCAGTAACTCACAGAACAGAAGGGAACATTGGGCACATGCTAATTTGGTTAATAAACCCATTAGGTGCACGCAGGCATAGACAGTGCAGAGCAAAACCCATTGAGAAGGAGATAGGAGTGATCAAAATGGGTGCATTCGATAAATCTTGTGGGGAATTCTATAGACGACAAGTGTTTATTGCTTGAAATATTCAATTTTAAAGAAAGTGTCTTCAGACAAACTTGCTAAAAGTAATAAAATGTTCAATAGGAGATAAAATAGAAATAGTCACCCATAAGCATACAAAACCATCTCATTGACAAAATGCTGCAAATTGTGACATAGTGATTTTAAAATATGACATTATATTGGAAGTGCCTCTTAGGAAAACTGGCATAGAACGCCTTATTTTCAAATTACTAGTTCGACTTTTAGGCAAACTAGTCATCAGAGGAACTGGATTTAGGCAGAGGTTTTGGGTGGGCTGGCTTTCTGCTCATTGGTCTGCTAGCTCCCTAATCACTCCCAAAGCTCTAATTTCACTTGAAACTATGGAGAAAGGGGTGGTGGAGGGGCAGTAAAACTTAATACTAACCTATAAATGTGCTGGCCTTTAACAGTTTACAGTCCTTTAAAAATATTAACTCATTCTATCATTCTAACAACTGGGCCACGAAGACCACAATCCCCATTTTACAGTCGAGCAAAGAATCTAAGAGAGGAGAAGCAAGTTGCTCAAGGTCTCGCAGCTTGTGAGTGAATCTAGAATCTCATCCTCAAATTCTAGGATGTGAACTCTACAGTAGTACAAAAGGTCCCTTAACCTTAGAGAGAAACATTAAGTACAAAATGTGTTTGGTTTTCTCAACAAGTGCAGTAGAAATTTGGGAAACAAGACAGCCTGGTGGGTTTGGGGACAGAAAATGGAGGCTGAGTGAATAACACTGGCCCTAGATGGCCTGAAAACATTGGGTAGGGGGATTTAGTGCTGTGGAGGGGTGGATGAGGAAGGAGGAGCAGCCACCAGAGTCCATGGGGCGTGTGGAGTCAAATGGATACTAGGGGGTGGACACAAGCTTGACCTCCTTGGGGCAGGGGATGAGGGGAAGGAGTAAAAATAAATAGATGCCAAACCCAAAGAGAGCAGCACGTGGAGGTTGCTACCCTTTGGAGATGTCTTGATTTGACCAAATAAATACAATAGAATCAGTATGGAGCAGTTTGTCAAATGCAGAGCTATATTAAAAGCAGGAGGGGTTCACTTAACTGATTGTTTCTAGACAAGAGGTCCTGGACAGAGAAGTTGAAGGATAGGGGTAGAGAACCTGAAAAACAACACTGCTTTAAATCCATCTGGAAATTAGGCAGCCTCCGAAATGACAGAGATTATAATGTCAAACAGACAGACCACGCACAGCTTTTCAAGCCCCCAGGTATGGTGTCAAATGAGCCATCACTGCCTTGAAGCCTCTCCCATGAGCCCTGGCTGACTTGGGTCCCCAGGTGGTTCCTCTTCTGAAACCGAGGAAGCCATAGGACCTGGCCTGAGCCACTGTTTTGAGGTGCTTATATAATTCCATTTTTCAGCCCTATAGGTTAATCAGCTGAAATTTCTCAAAACAAGGTTTCGTTCTGACCAGAGTGAACCTGCGCCAACTAACTGCCGAAGACGGCAGAAAAGACTTATTCAAAACCTTCCTCTCCTGGCCCAAGAAAGGCTGCTGAGTCAGCCAGCATTTCTTGGGAACCCCCAAAAGGAAATCCTTGCCAGTGCTCCTCTGAAAAGCCACTTTTCCCTCCACAGTGTCCAGTGCTTGGAGAGGAAGCCTGGCAAGACACTCGCCTCATTGCTGCCCTGGACTTTAATCAAAGGCCAGAGCTGCATCTGGGGCACTTCCTTGAATGTTTCAAATCAGGTCAGCAAACTCTTTTCAGTTAAGGGGCAGAGGGGTTTTGTTTTGTTTTGTCTTGTTCCGTATTGACAATTGAACCCCGGGGCACCCTTACCACTGAGCTACAACCCCAGCCCTTTTCTTAATATTTTATTTTAAGATAGGGTCTTGCTAAGTTGCTCAGGCTGGTCTCCAATTTGTAAACCTCCTGCCTCAGCTTCCTGAATAGCTGGGATTACAGGTGTGTGCCTCCATGCCTGGCAGTATTTTCTACTTTTGGCGGGGTAGGGGGTATGTATTCTCTGTTCCATCTGCTCTGCTGTTCTGGTGCAAAGACACCATAGACAGTGGGCATGGCTGTGTTCCAACACAACTTTATGAAGACAGGTGGCAGGTCATAGTTTGCCCAACCGGGTCTCAAATGAAGCTTCAGTAAGCCCTTCAACTCAGTCCTTGAACCTTTGCCCATGACCTGAAGGGAAGGCTTATATTGTACAGCAAGGTCTAGAGTCAAGGATATTTAATAAACAAGTTATGGTATGGCCTCTGCACCAGGTCCTAGCAAAGTGTTTTCAGCAGAAGAGGAAGTCTGGAGTCAGATGAGTGTTCAAATCCTGATGCATTTACTCATCTGTGTGGTCCTGAAGCAGGACCTCGGCCCGGATGAGCCCATGTCTCCTCACTGGGCAGGATGCTGCTGCCTGCTTTATGGAGCTGTGGTCAGGACTGAACACCATGATGCAGGCAAAGTGAGTGTTTGGCACAGCGCCTGGCCCATAGTCCAGTTCACTAAGTGGGAGCTATTATTATCCCCACTAAGCCTCACTCTAGCCCGAGAAGCAAACAGCAGCCATCACTATCTCCAAGATGGTGGAATAGGCTCTGGGAGGTCGATTCACTTGCTCGAATGCAGAGCTGCTCATCGGGGTGCTAAGCCCCAAGCCTGGTCTGGCCTCAGCGTGGGGAGCCATCCTGCTCCTGTAAGGGGTCTGCTTCCGTAGGCTGAGTGTGCCTCGGTCACTGGAAACTTCCAGTCGCCTAAGCAACACATAAGGCCTTCACAGGAGCAGATTGGTCCTGCCACATTCTCCTTCATGGCAGCTTTCGCCTGGGCAGCAGCCTAGGAAAATTCTCTCTCCAGAGGTGTTAAGCACCTATCATTAACTCCTTATCTGGGGACCCTTGTCTGAAGTTTTGGAGTTAAGACTCCTGCTCAGGAGACTTAACCAGGCACTTGAGATTCCTTTCTACACAAGGCCAAGGCCCAGAAACCTGGCTTCTAGTCCTGAATCTGCTTCTACCCAGGTTTGCAGGGCAGCCTGGCAAGGACTTTCCTTAGCCCTTCTGAGCCTCAGGTTCCTATCTGCCCAGGCCACACTGAGTGTGTGTGGGAGGTAAGTACAAAGCACCTGCTGATGAACAGGGCTTTGTTGGGGTCCCAGCAAACAGTGGAATGCTTCAGTTTGCCCTTTTGAGGGAGTTCAGGGCCTGCCACAGGGACCTATAGGGAGAAGCTCTGGAAGAAATGGATGCACGGCAGGAAAACGGGAACCTCAGCCAGCAAGTAAGGCCACTGCAGGGTTATGTGGGTCTGTACCAGCCCCCTTGACACCAGAGGCTGTTGGAACCTGCATTTCGTACTTCTCCCATTGTGCTTTCTGATCTTCCTGAATGTTCAAGGAGCGACAGGTCACAGTTGAGCTAGCCCAGTGGCATGAAAGTCCAAGTTCAGAGCTTTAGTCCCAGCCCTAGCTTTGCTAGTAACTGGCTCTATGTTTCCAGGCAGATCAGTTAATCATTTGGGGGTCGCAGTTCCCCCTCATCAATTTTCACAGGGCAACCGCCTTTCTTCTCTCTACTTTGGACATAAAGAATTCTACAAGATCAGAGCTGACAGGAGTCTGGGAGGTCATACCTCAAGTCCCTTTATTTTTACAGATGAAGAAGGTGGGACTCAGAAAAAGGAGAGTGACTTATTGAAGGAGACGTAGCTATGTAATACTAGCAAAGTCATACAGAGGGCTTCTCATGTGCCAATCACTGTGCAAAAAGCTTCAGCTGCTTTCACTGTCTCCACTGCCGCTCCCTTTTATAGCAGAGGAAACTGAGGGACTGAGCAGCTAAGTTGTTAGTCTAAGGATCTTCTGTAGCATGTGCATGGGAGTGTGGAGAACCACGTGGCATTGCCCCGAAGGCAGGCAAGGTCACTGTGGGAAGAGCAGGCCTTCCCTCCGGGGCTGCAGTCCCCTCAGCTGGAGGGAAAGGGCTTTTCTCTGCCATCTGCAGTCCCAGGGCACAGGACAGCTGTATCTGTGGGGCTGTGGGGAAGAGGGGACCTGTCTTTTCAGCTAGGCCAGCATGGGGACAGGGGATGCTGGCCCCGGCATGTGTTATGGGGGAGTTCATCCTCCTTCTCTCTAGGCTCCCAGACTTTCTCACAGCCTAGAGCTCCTCTGGCCTCCTTTGGGAACTCCCACCTCCTCAGTGTGAGGGATGTGGGAAGAAAGGGAGGGTAAGTGAGGCCCAGAGAGGGCTGGGGGAGCGGTCTCACTGCCCAGCCTCCATCTCTA